AACCAGACTTCCTGGTCACTAATGGTCCATTACTTTTATTAGCCTTGACACCGCCATTTTGAATTATAAGTTTTGAATGCCTTTAAGAATTTTATACTCTCAAAGCAAGTCACTGAAATAAGATTCAAGATTGTTACAATGCATTCCATTCTTTAAGTGAGCAAAATGCATTGGAAAGGGAGGTGGGAATGAGACTAAGAAGCACTCCCAAGCACATTTGTATTAGAGGGGAATTCTTGTGGAAATTGAGGATCCAGAAATGATTCTCTGAAAAATATTATTTTTTCCTCTGTTTTTCTTTCTTCCTTTGTGTGTGTTGGGGAGGGGGTTGTGGGTGCATGCATCTGTGTACTAGAGGTCAGGAAGAAGATGTCTAGTGTCCTGCACTATTACTCTTTGCCTTATTCCCTTGAGACAGGATCTCTCAATGAACCTGGAATTGTCTGGAAACCAGTAAGCATCATCAATCCTCTTGTCTCCACATCTTACAGTCGTTGGGGTTACAGGTACACACAAGGCTATGTTCACATAGGTTCTGAGATTTGAACTCAGGTCTTTATGCTAAGTCATTTCCCAGCCCTTGCTTATACTTTCCTTGAAAAGTCTTTGTGAAAATTCATACACTTGTTTGACGACCATTATACTAAAATTCTGGAAACATTAAGACAAAACATTACATTTAAAAAGTCTCAAAAGTAACAGAAACTTATCTAAGCTGTCTGAAGTGCTTGGGTTCTTTTTAAATGTAGGTACAGACTAGGTTGGGACAACTATAAAAAAGATCTAAGCAAGGTGGCACTGAAGAGCTAACTTAGTGATTAAGAATGAAAACTATTGTTTCAGAGAACCCAAGCTAGTTCCCAACATCCAGGTCAGGCAGTTAATCACCACCTGTAACTCTAGTTCCAAGGGATCCAATGCCCTCTTCTGGCCTGTTCACATACCACATTCATGTGCATATACCCCCCCCCCACACACACACACAGTTAGAAATACAGAGAAAAGTGTGGCGGTGCATTTAATGCCAGCAGTTGGGAGGCAGAGATAGGTGGATCTCTGTGAGTTCTAGGTCATTCAAGGTCAACTTATTGAGCTCCAACCTAGCAAGCTACACAAATACAAACATGACAAAAACAAACAAAAACCCCAATAATTTTTTTAAAAAGAGTTAAGCGGAAGGAGCCAACAAAATGATTATAACAAACAACAGAGAAATGTAATTCCCTTCCACTCTTCCTCTCTCCCTCTTCCTTTCCCCCTAATCTCTAGCATTAATATGAAAATAATTGCCTCTACTTTTGGAGACCTGACTTAATTAGACTAATTTGACTTTCCGCTGGCAAAACTAACACTAAAATGGTTCAGAGTTCTCTAATTATAGAGCAATCACGCTTTTTCCTTAACAGATACTAAAACCAAATGCTATAACATTAGATGAGGTCATTGTGAATAACCTGTTGTAAGGCCTATTTTGAGATACCACATGAATTTCAGTGATTATTCAGTGAAAGGAAGCAAGAGGTACAAAGTTACTGCGGAAGACATTATGATTGCTACTATGATTATCTAACTGGTGATAAAGTTTCACAAGTTATTCCGTAAGATGTACATCCATTGACTTGAACCTCTATTCTACTACCCCACACTCTTCAATATCAACTCCTTTCTTGTTTGTTCTCTCTCAGTCAATGTTATCTTTTTCTTTGCATCCTGAATACCCAAAGACTTAGGTGAATCTTTTGATGGACACTCTCATCAACATTCTCAAACTCTTCTTCCTAGAATTTCTGCTTATTGGTTCTGCCAGGTCCAGCCTAGAATCCATCTCATTTTTCTCATCTGTAGCTTCCAGTTTGTCATTTACTGATGGGTAAAACTTATCACTGCTTCCAAATGCACCTTGACCTTTAGCACTACAAAGCAGTATTTTGTACTCTTTCCTGGTTGACTTTCTTTTCCCACTGCTCAGGTGCAATTCCAAATATCATGCCATCACTCTCCCTGGGTTTTCCCATTAAATATTTCCAAACAGCAAACGACCTTGCTTTCTACTTCAGGAAAAATTACTTCAAGTTCCCCTGCCTTTAACAATCATCTAACACATCACCCTCCCTTCTTCCTGTACTAGATTCTGATACAGAATATCAACTAGCCCTAACCCCTCAATACTACTTGGCTTCTGGTGTGGAGGATTATTTCATGCTAAAAAGCTTTTCACTATAAAAGCCACATACGTCGTTAAAAGGCAAAGATACTCCTTGGAATTCATACTCCAGGTTGAAGACATGAATATCAGAATGTTAGGAAATAAAGATTGCTGATTGGCTGTAGAAAAGACTACATCAGAATAGCAAGTGTTCTTCACCTTGGAAACATTCACAAGCAAGGGCATAGAGGAAGGTGAGTTGGGATGCTGCCTCCCCATTAAATGTTTTAATATTCTATCACAGTTCTGCCTGCCAAATGTCACAACATGAAATTTAAAGAGGCTATGCTTCAGTGAGCAATGTCATTTTTGTCCTTTACTATTTGCTACCACCTGCCACATATGTAGTCTAAGATGCTATTAATAATAACCAGCCCACCCACCACTTCCTTTTAACAGTGAACATTTTTACTCACCTTCATTCAATTGCATTTTTTGTGGATAGTCCTAGGGCAACCAGCATGAATTAACATGCTGTGGTTTTTCTAATTTAATATCACATTTCTGTCACACACAACCTTCAAGTGACATGTGAAAACTTTAGGAAAAGTATTTGTAAAGATTGTCTTAAGAGAAACTTTAATGTAGAGGATACTTATGGAAGGCTAGTATCCTATCTAACCCAGGACAGATCCATACTTTGTGGCGCTCTGATGATTTGGGAGAAGTCTCTTGACTTCTTGAAAATGAAAGGCTCTTGTGATTAAGCTTTACACATATCAGCTTTAAAAAATATGGCCATTTAATTGGGGCATTAAGCAAGCCCAGACTGAACAAAATCTCGCTAAATGTGAATGAACACATGCCATGAGCCAGGCACATTATATATCTCAATCTCACAAGTTTATCAGGTCAATATTTCATAAAAGTGGAAACCTCATCAGGCTCAGAAAATTTGGAAACTTGTTCACAGGCGGCCCACTGCTCACAGTGAAACTGAGACCCAAACCAAGTTCTTGTTTTGTTTTTTTGTTTGTTTGTTTTTATGTAATAGTTTGCCTTTCAAATTTCCCCAATGATAAAGGACTGAAATTACTTCAGAGAAAACCCCTGGAAAAAGGGGGGAAACAGTCAGTCAGTATTTGAAAGGGCATGTCTTAAGTTGCATCTGATATAGCCAAAAACTGAATCCATAAAACTTTTTTTCTAAGGGCACATTTAAAAATATATAATCCTTTGGACTATCTTCTGCTTCCTAAATGACATAGAAAGGCGATCTTCTATAAGTATGACACCAAATGGCAATCTAAGCAATAGTGGAGAAGCTACCTTAAATGCCTTCCCCGATAATGAGATTGATGATTACCTAATGTGTTATCCTAGAGCCTTCATCCAGTAGCTGATGGAAGCAGAGGCAGACACCCACAGCTAAACACTAAACTGAACTCCTGGAACCCAGTTTCAGAGAAGGAGGAGTGATGAGCAAAGGGGTCAAGACCAGGCTGGTGAAACCCACAGAAACAGCTAACCTGAACAAGAGGGAGCCCATAGACCCCAAACTGATGGTTGAGAGGCCAGCATGGGACTGACCCAGACCCTCTGAACGTGGGTGTCAGTGAGGAGGCCTCAGCAATCTATGGGGCCTCAGGTAGAAGATCAGTATTTATCCCTGGTGTATAAATGTATATTGGGAGCCCATTCCACATGGAGGGATGTTCTCTCAGCCTGGACACATGGGGGAGGGCCTAGGCCCTGCCCTGGATGATATGACAAACTTTGAGCATCCCCCATGGAGGGCCTCACCCTCCCTGGGGAGCAGAGAGGGGATAGGGTGAAGAGTTGGGGGATTGGGAGGGCAGGAAGGAGGGGGGGAGAGGAGAAGGAGCTGGGAAGCATGTGAAGCAGCTTGCTTCTAATTTAAATGAAAATAAATAAATTTTAAAAAAGAAAGGCAATCTTAAGAGTCCAAAAGATATGTGGCTCTAATTCATGCAGAATAACAGAGTCAGAATCAGCCTGTTGAGATGAGCCTGGGAAGAATAGCCTTCCAGAAAAGAATCTGTCTGGGGAAGACTTCTGACAGTGTTGATCTTTCCAAACTCTAATCTCTTATGTGCCCAATATTATTCTCTCTTGACATTAGATCAAAGTTTTGTTTTGCATTGACTTGGGTTTGCTTTGAAGGACAGTCTTGCTACATAACCCAACACTGCCTTGAATTTCAAATCCCTTTTTTCTCTGTCCCTTCCCCCAAGTACTGGGATTATAGGTGTGACTCACCACACCCAGCTGACATATGGAGTTTTAAAGATTAAGAAAAATGACAATGGTGTATCTATTATTCCATTACATTCATAGTTTTTACCTGTTTAACCTCTGTCCATCTTAAAATGTTGGTTAGAAGTATCTTTTCTTTTGCCATGCTCCCAGAAATACGTGCTGGTCTCTTTCTATCTTTTCCTCACTCACAGAATCCAGAATTTTGAGCAGACAGGCTTTCCAAACATGTTCGTTACCATGGTGTTGATGAGTTCTTTTTGATAAGTCACTATTTTCTAATCCAACAGTAGTTTTATAATGCAGGTATACTGGCTGTGATTCTATTCTATTTATTCAAAGATTTCTGAATAAAACTTGGGGACTTGGATTTGGTTAGACCTAAAACAAGAATTAATCTTGTAGTTCAGCATTTTCAGTCATCAAGCTGCTACTGATGCTACTTAAAATATCTGCTGACTTTGTAGTCTTGGTGCTATTGTGACCTCAAGCTGCAGCTAAAATCAGTCCAGTGCAACAGGAGCTTCAAGAACAGCAGCACAAAATGATGTCTTAACTGGTTGGAAAAAGAAGGCACAGATTTTCAAGAAGGCCTCTTCATCGTTAGGAATTTCCCTTCAAGATGACAAGTGGTACAAACTCTTCAGGATCTTGCTTTCTCACAAAAAAGTGAGTCTTTGATGGGGAAAGTTAAATGGCAGCTACCTAGGAGGGGAAAAGGGTTTTTATTTACCCAAGCTAAAGATAAGACTATTTTATCTTTTCCCACAGGAATTCTAAAACAGATGACAACTACTTGAAGGAATTGAATGAAGATTTAAAGTTAAGAAAGCAGGAACTTCTAGAGATGCTAAAACCTCTAGAAGATAAGAACTCTCTCTTATTCCAGAAGCTAATGGGTAACTTGGAGGAAAAACAAAGAAGGTATGGGTACCTACTACTCAGTATCCTAAAGAAAGAAAGGCTGGAGAATGCAACCACCATAGATTAGTAATAAAATGGTTAAAAATAGACAAATCACTGATTTATTTTTCTTTTTAAATTTGGACATTCAGTTCCAGTAGAATATAAAAGAATTTATCACTACAAAAGCAGGGGGGGGGAGTAATACTTTAGTTTTTAAAATAAGTAGAATTTGGTCCTCATGAAGCTAATTACTCTTTTGATGCCCACTCAAGAAACAGGTAAATGATTATTTATGTTGGTAGAATTATTTTAGAATAAACACTTGCTCCTTCTATACCAAGCAGAAGAGTGATGATTTTTTTTTCTAAGCCTGGGTACTCTTTGTGTTAGGGAGACATTCCTAGGCATCTGAGACCTTAAATCTTTGCTAGAATAGTCATTATTCTTAGGAACTACTAAGTCTCTGTTTCCTTTCTGATCATAGAAGATACCACTTCAGTTGATCTTCTTTCTACCCTTATCACATGCCCTTAAGGAACTCAGACTTCAGGAGAACAAAAACCAACAAGAAGTGGTCAAACACTGTGTGTTGGTGATGCAAGCCTTTAATCCCAGCACTCGGGAGGCAGAGGCAGTCGGATCTCTGTGAGTTTGAGGCCAGCCTGGTGTACAGAGCTGGTGTACAGGACAGCCTCCAAAATAATACAGAGAAACCCTGTCTCAAAAAACCAAAAAACAAACAAAAAAAGAAGAAGAAGAAGTGGTCAAACACCAGCTGTTAGCAAATCAGGAATATAGACCTCTCTAGGGGCAAAAGAGCATGTTACACATGGTATTCCACTCAGATCCAGATAGAAAAAGGACAATAATACAAACATAAATTAGTGATTTCCTTTAAACAGTATCCTTCTCATAGTCAGACAATACTGAATCAGAGCTATATACTCACAGGGGTAGGAGATGGATTTATACTATCTGTGAGATGGGGAATAATTTTGGAATTAATATTAAAAATATCAAGGTTTTCAATTCCTTCTATACAGAGGCAGAAGCACTCCTTCCCTCAAGTTATACAGTAAAACATTTTTAGAAGGTAGAAAGTACTTTCACTGTTTGTTGGAGACCTATGTTTTGAATATCGAAGAGCACAAAATTCATTACTGATCACATACTTCATGCAAGTGACAGAGACTTTCAGCATTAAGGACCTGTCTAATTCCTAGTATCTCAGCCCCTACTGAACTTCCATTGAAGAACACTCCCTGGCTGAGTGCAGATATTAATCTTATGTTTTAAAGGGCATGTATATTCTATGATTTCTCTTTTTTTCTTCTAGTCTGCAGATCATGAGACAGATCATGGCAGGGAGAAGATGTGATGAATCTTCAGTCATGGAACTTATTAAGGAAGCAGAGGAGATGAAACAGAACCTGGTGAGATGTTGTTAGTAGATACTACAGGGCATAGTTTTTTAAATCACTGCTGTCACATATGGAAATAACAAATGCTCATCTCTGGCCTCTGGTGCTCCAAACATGTATATCTTTTTGATCTAGGAAACCCATCATGATGCTAAGGAACTCAGGCTGGATGTTGAAAAGAGCAAGGGCTAGCTAGCAAGATTCTACTTTTTTTTACCTAAACAAAAGTTTCATTTAGTGGTTAATGAATATAAGCATATAACTCTTATCATTTCTAAAGGAATAGAATATCAAATTAAAAGAAAAAAGTTTGTTTTGAAAATGTCTTGGATCTTTTTGAAGTCAATAAAAATCTCTAAAAATTAAAAGTTAATGCTCTAAGCCCTCAAGTGACTGTCTTATGAGATCATCTTAAGCCTTAAGAATTTATTTCTGATACATCTCACAATGGACATAAAAGGTTATTACTTGAAATAACGTTTTAACCACCACCATCATCTTCATCATTGTCATCATCATCAAAATCATCTCTTATGTTTCTGTATGAAATGCTAGGTCCATTTATTGTTTTCCTCTGTGGTTTACTGTGTCTACAAATCGCTTTCCTACCATTAATTAAACAGCTGCTTTTCCTAACTTTAACAGTCGGACAAACACATCTGTTTGTTTGGTTCTTCCTCTTCTAATAGGAAAAGAAAAACAAGATGCTTCGGAAGGAAATGGAGATGCTATGGAACAAGGTGTGCATCTAAGGATCTCTCAAAAGTATTGTCCTACAGATAATGCAAAGAACCTCTCATTGCTCCAGTCCCTCATCCTCAGTTTTTCATGTCTCTTCTTCCGGCCACGTTCAATTCGCACAACAAAGAGATCTTTTAAAACATTTAGTGTTCCAGTCACCCTACTGTGACTTAACTGTTTTGTACCCACCTTTCCAGTCTCCTCTCTTAGAAGTCCTCCCCCCTCTCTCTTTCTTTCTTAACTCGTGACATACATTTTTAATAAAACATTTTTTCACATTTCAAATTGTCCACAATGGCTAAAACGTAGGCTCCTGAGTCAGAAATGATTTTGTTTTAACTCTAGCTCTATATACTTCTCTAGTAGTATGACTGTTGCATGAAAAATAAAGACCCAGAGACAGGTATTAAATTGAAGATCAGAGAAGCAAGGCAGCCATGCCACTAGCTCTTATCTGTACCTCATGCTGAAATAGCAATCCTGTCTCCACAAGCTCTCACCAACTCCCAGACTGCTGCCTCTCCTCAGTGTGGCTGGGCAGAATCCTGAGACTGACCATTGAAGATCCTGATCCTGTCTTTTATCTCTCTAGTGCTGGGATTAAAGGTGTGTGATGCCAGGTGCTGAGATCATCTTTGTGTGAGCTGTTCCTTTTAGGACTGGTTCAATTTTGTGTAGCCAGAGTGGCCTTGAACTAACAGAGATCTGTCTACTTCTTTTTTTTTTTAATGTGGAAAATTTTATTTTTCTCAGGGCAGTTAATATACTTGGTAAAGCAGGAGAACGGGAGGTGGTAGGGGGTTGCTTTGAGCACCACGTGTGCATGTAGCAGGATATTGTTTAAGCACATAGAGCAGGATATTGGCAAGGTAAAAAGTTCAGAAGGGAGAGGAATGGGTGGGCTAATGGCCGCTATCTAGGTGATGGTTAGGGCTGGCTGAGTTTGGACAAGCTTTCTGGGTCATGACTTTCCTATGTTCTACCTATGCTGTTTCTCTTCTGAGTACCCATAGAAGGCTCCTTTGTTAAGGCTAAAGGCAATTAAGTAAATCTTTAGACTTTAGAAAGTACAGGTTTGGCTCCAAAAGATCAAGGTACCTGAGGCGCTCCCAACACTAGAGTTATCAGGGTGTCGTCGTACAGGTCCTTTTGCTATCTGTCTACTTTTTAATCCTGAGTCCTGGGATTAAAGGTGTGTGCCACCACCACCCAGCTTCTATAGTAACTAGTATGGCTGATCTCTATTGGCTTTACTAAATCATAAATAATATCAATATATCACATATATGATAATTAATAAGTGGTTTAACCTTTCAAATCTCAATTTCATCAATAATAAAAAGGAAACAGAAATAGTCTCCAGAGTTGTGAAGATTAAAGGAGGAGGACTGTAATATAGTAGTGAAAGTAAGTAATGAAGTTAGAAGCTTAGCTGTCAGTGGTATATTATATGGGTTCACTTAGTAGTTGTTATTATTAAAAGGAACATTAAGGGACCATTTTGAATCCCTGTGGTAGGTATACAATTTCCATTTTGATCCCTAGGAAGTTGCTGTCTGGCAGGAACCAAAAGCCTTGACTTCATAATTACCACTAATATAAAGCTCTGCCAAAATGTCTCTCCACAGACATTTGAGTCACAAGAGCTCCAAGATCAACAGAAAGCTTTACCGACAAAGCCCAAGGCAGACTTGAAAGATGGAAAGGTGAGAGGACTTAGAATGCCATAGAAGTTGACACCATACAGTTGGAAACTGCCCCTTAACAAACAGGGCTAATTTGGGGATCAGTGCTTGTAGGCTATATTTGATTTCTAGCCTGCCTATCCCTTTAGCTCTATTCCTTTAGCTCTTGTGATTCCTATCAGGCTCTGGAATTCCTTTTATGAAGGCTAAGAGTGAGTCAGAGACATCAGATGCAGAGAAAGTGGAGGACATAAGGAGGCTAGGAGCACAACCACTCTGAGCAGTAGTGGCTTTTGCAACTGATAACTCAATACTCTGCTTAAGGTGTGGTGTGGTCCTACACTGATGCAAATTTATAAGAAATGTAGCATCTTTGGGATACTATATTTATGTTAGCATCACAGGTTTCTGGAAAATCATCCTAGTTTTCCTAAAATGTGAAAACCCATATCAACAATTACAATTCCATACACACAGAGCACTTATTAATTTATTGTGGAAATTTATTTAGAGATATTACATTTGCAGAACTGTTCATTCATCTCTGAGCTTTTAGAGAGTGGAGGTCAATTTAGGAAGACTATGAAATAAAAACCAACCTAACAGTGAATCTATGATACTATAATTTTGATATAAGGTTGTTGCAGGATATTGAGGAAACTGATTTTTATCTCAATTTACTTTGTCACCCAGAAGGTCTTTCTTCCACCAGGAAAAGCAACAGAGGAAAATAGAATGGGTCAAATATGAAGAACATTCCAACATCCTTCAGGTACTAAGCTTTTCCAAGACTGAACATGGTATACATTTATTTGTACAATGTAAAAGCTTTTAAGATCATGTTTGCTAAGGCCAATTCGCATATCCTCCATTGCCTATTTAAAAAAAAAACTGGATTTTGGAAGAGAGCTGGAGTCACCTATCTCTGAAGTTACCTGGAATAATTTAGAATAAATACTTCTTTTCATGTTTTTTGATTTTGTACTACTTAATATTGGGGAAAAATAACAAGTATTATCTTCCCAACTCTAAAAGACAAAACATGAGGGCTTTATTTCTAACACCTGTATAAAGAAGCACAAGTAGCCTGGCTTTGGTGGTGCCCACCTTTAATCCCAGCACTCAGGAGGCAGAGGCAGGGGAATCTCTGTGAGTTTGAAACCATCCTGGTCTACAGAGTGAGTTCCAGGACAGGTTCCAAAGCTAGACAGAGACACCCTATCATTGAAAAAAAGGAAAGGAAAGAAAAGAAACACAGGTAATAGGTAATAGTAAATTTCAAAAAGTCAGTATTATGTGAATGTTTTGAAAAATGTCCTCTTTCAGAATGGCTTTCATGGCAAAGTGATTGAGCTGAGAATTGAAGCCTTGAAGAACTACCAGAAGGCCAATGACTTAAAATTATCACTGTGCCTACAGCACAATTTTGAGCCAAAGCAAGGAGCTTTCAATCTTCTGAGGCCTCAAGGTAGGTAGAGTATCAGAGATAAATAGTTGGAGGTTTTATTTTGTCTGTTACACTGAAGGTCTCATTATTAACAATGAGCATCACAGTGCCTGGTATACAGTGTAAGTTAAATGTAGTATAGATACAGTTTTTCCACTATCATTATTAATAGTAGATTCAGTAACTATTGTATTAAGATAAGCATTCTCTGTGGAAGAAATTAAGTTTCCCTTTATAAAGATAAAAATATACCATATCCTTAGCATATATAGACAATAACAGTTGATATTAAAAAACAATTTACTTTCTTTTCACCTTTATCCCTATCCTAAGAACAAGAACTGTCTCATAAGTCATATTGGACAAACTGTTACTTCAAAACTGAAGGTGTAGGAGATAGTTGGCAAGGGCTCCAAGTTTGCTAATTCAGATGAATTTCTGGGAATGTCAGTGATTTCCCCTAAAGACATTATGGCATCATAGGAAATAATCATATTTCATAAAAAGTAAAATAATAGCTATGATGGGTAGGGAAAAATTTTAATTTCTTAAATCTTCAAGGATCTATTAATCTGGTCTTATTTTTAAGAGACATGACATGAGAAATCATACCCCAAGAGTGGCAATACCGCTGTCTGTCTGTCTGTCTGTCTATCTATCCATCCATCCATCTGCATATATGTAATATTTTCTCAGTCTTAGTCCATAAAGGGCTTGAGCGTCTGATGAAAATCCCACACAACACATATGATTAAATAAATATATGGGCAAGTCAAAAGAAAGGGAAGGTAAGTTCTGTCAAAACATGATAATGTATGCTAGAAATGCTGGTTAGAGGTAGATTATAAATTTGGTTCTGAATTTGCCAGCAAACGTAGATTATCAATGTTCATAAAATGACAACAAACCAGTTGATTAGGACAAATATGGATTTTCATGTTAGTGATACCTGAGAGTGATTTCTCCTCCAGACCTTCATAAAGTGGACAAGACTTTACTATGAAATGTCAGTAGTTAATATCCTCAATATTTCCAAAATGAATCCAGGACCTAAATTCCCTAAACTGTGTCTTATCAATACAACATGTTAACAAGTCATTATTGTGAAAAATTTTAATAGGATGCAGCAACTTAGCATGATTTGGTCCAGGCACACAGTACTCCATCATCTTCAATAGGTAAAATTTGGGAAATCTAGAAAACTGAATGGACTACATGTCCCCAGGCAAAGTTTCCCACATATTTTTCTTTTTACTTATATTTGGAGAAGCATTGGACAGCAGAGGAAGAGCCTGGAGGCAGTAAGTCATTAACACAAAATTTAAAGACAAAGAAGTAGTATGAGGAAAACAAACAGCTGTTTTTATGTTATTGAAAATTAGCCAAAGATCATCTCAAGAGATCCACATAGTAAGGAAACAGTTCTTTAAATTCCAAATTTAAGTCAATTCCCCACTAGTGATTCTATTCGACCTGAGTGCCTTAGGAGACTCCCCTACACACCTTCACTAACAGAACACTCAATCAGTTTGAATTGGGGCAGTCCAAAGATCCATACTGTCTCTTCTCTTTCACTTGTAGCAAATGAAGTTATAGGATTCTATAGTGCCCAGGCAGGAGCCATTCATCGGTCCCATGCTTTACTGACTGTGTATCCGCTGAGCAGAGACTGTATGTCTACACATGCTCAATTTTTTTTGGTTTATTTGAGCCAAAACAGATCTGAAACCTAACAGTCATAGATGTTGAGTTATTTATAAACTCTATTTCTTTTTAGTATTAAAAAAACCTCAGAAGAGCTAGTTCTTGTGGTGGGTGTGATGGTTAGTTTTTTGTCAACTTGACACAAGATAGAGTCATCAGGGAGAAGGAAACTTCAACTGAGAAAAATGTCTCCAATAGATTGGACTGTAGACAAGTATTTTGGGGCATTTTCTTGATTAATGATTGAGTTAGGAAGTCCCAGTCCTCTGTGGGCTTCCCTGGGCAAAGAGTCTTGGGTATATTAGAAAGTGGACTGAGCAAGCCAGTAAGCAACAGTCTTCCGTGTCCTCTGCTTTCATTCCTGGCTCTAAGAACCTGTCCTGTACTCCTGTCCTGACTGCCCTTCATGATGAATTTGTAAGCCAAATAAACCCTTCCTTCCCCAAGTTGCTTTTGGTTAGAATGTTTTCTCACAACAACAGAAAAAACAAACTAAAATAGAATTGTTAAAATAAGCATACTATTATCAACAGTGGGGAAGTAGTGTTGTGGTATTACTGTTCCTCAACTTCTTTAGTCTGTTGATTATTCATTTTTGCTACTGAGGTTGATTTCATATTCATACATGCATTTCTAGAAAAAAAGTTCAAAAACAAAACAAAACGGGATCTCTGCAGCCCTAGCTGGCCTGCAACTTACTATGTAGCCCGTACTGACCTCAGACTTACCGCAGTCCTTCTACTTCAGCCTCCTAAGAGCCAGTATTGCAGGCATGAGCTTCCATGATCAGGCACAAAATTCACATTACTAAATGACAAAACAGTATAGTTTTCACAAGTACATTTAATAATAATGAAACAAAAAATGAATTCTAGAAAGATGGTCAAGCCTGGGGCCTACTTTATCATTATTGGAAAGTAAAACTAACAAGACAGATCATTTAAAACTTTGAACTTTCCCCTGGGTGCACTGGAAAAAGGGTAACTGAGCCGAGTGCAGAAGCACCTGTTTACAATCCCAGCATGTAGGACACACAGGCATAAGAGGGCAAGGCCAGCCTAGCGAGAGTTTGCATCAAAAATAATTTTCCCCCACTGTGAGTTATAGGATTTAAAGCCGTGTTATAACACCTCGTAAATTCATTACAGGTGTCACCTAAAATTATTTCACTACCAAACTTTGAGAAGTTTTAATTTAATGGAAAAGCCATGACTCTAGGGTCATAATAGATATGTGTTGTAACCCTTTCACGACAGGGATAAGATTTTTATTTCAGTTTTTCTGTATCTAGTATTTACAACTATCAGATGTAGCAGCACACATTTAAAACATCTCACTTTGTGTAGCCCTTATAATGACTCTGTAAGATCTGAAATATGGAACAAGAAGCAAACTCAACAAAGTCAGCCGTCTGTGTCCCTAGGTAAAGCTGGGTTTCTGGACAGAACAATACAATGGCAGTGTTAGAGTTTGATTTCTTATTCCTCTTCCAGTCCTAAAAACTGTGATGGGAACCCAAAGGTAGCTATTTATAGTATCATCCTCCCATAGAAGAATCATATTCCCTAAGGTTGTTTTTAAGAGTGTTTACAAATGGGTCGGGAGGCCTGTAATTATGTATTTAGTCCGGTAGGTGGCACCAATCACATCTATGCCAAGTCCATAACAAATGGTAATTCAGGAAACGTGAAATCCTGTAGGAGGACTGGCTTTCTATTCCCCTTAGGACAAAATGTGCCACATTTATATACCAAATGAAAAATGAAGAAAAGAACCTATTGATGTTTTGTGTCATGCTATGTGGCACCAAGATGTATACTGGCAGCCTTGGTTAAACATTAAACTCGGTGTTCTGTTGTACAACTCTTAACTATTATTATGCCCCTCCCTTAACTATAGTTCACCCCCATTCCAAAAAAGAAAGAAAAAACAAAAGCAATTGCCTACTTCCTCCATAATTCTTGTCTAACACTTTTTCTCTCTGCCACAAATAAATCAGGCAATTAGGGCAATGAAGTAAAAATGGGTTGGGCTATTACACAAGGACTATTTGAAGGTTAAGTACTTAATAGCCCTCTTGGATGGTGTTCTGGTTCCTCCAGTTTCAAGAGAATTGAATTGCTTAAACTTGTGTAGAGAAAGGGTGGCATGTCATTTTGGACACACCTCCTAGATTAATTAGGCAAGCACAGGTCCTTCCTTTTCAGATATTTCCAAGTAGAAGGAAGTTTTGCTGTAATGGTCTTGGCCATAATCCTTCCTCCCCTGTTCAATGGGCAGTCTGGATGAGTTAATGGTGCCTTCTAATTTGTTGGCACATACTAGAGACTTTGTTACAACTCAAGCAATCCCTATTTGGGGAATTCCCTAAAACAGGGGACTCGACATCACCAGAGTCTTAGCTCTGGACATTATCTTATCTTCTATAAGAAAACGATTCTGTTGTTTTCACTAAGAGATAATCTTTCTTTCCCTCCCCTCCACCCCCCAGAGATAGGTCACAAGTGAAGGAGTTTGCTTCTTATAATTTGGATCAGGATTTGTGTCAGCCCTCACTCCCTAACTTGTACTATGTCAAAACTGCAGCTTGTGGCTTTTGCTGATCACCTATCTTAGAAAGCTCAGGCACTAAGCAATCTTTAAATTCAGATGAATTTCCCATCACACCTGCTGGTGTTTAAAGAATTGAGGGTTTGTCTTCAGTGATAACTGTGATAAGCTATTTGATTTTGACAGTTTTTTATTCTCCCACATCCGAGGCTCTTAGCATTTCTTTGAGCTCTCTGAGAAGAAATGGAAGGTTCTCCTTAGTAGAAGAACCTGAAGACTGGATGTAGATATTGTGCTACATTTGTAAATTGACATAAAGCCCAGTGAAGTGGAAAGTGAATATGCCTGAGAACTATGTACTCACTAGCCCTCTGTTCTGAAAGCAAGTTTTTCCTCTCACCTTTAACCTTGACCACACTTCATTAATTTCTCACTCTGATGGCTAAAATTGCAAGAGGCAGAGGCAGAAACCACAAACTGTGGCTCAAATCTAGATCTTTCAAAAATAGTACTTCTCTTAAATATTCTATAAGCTTTGAGGCAACCCGAACCTTTTAAAAGTTGTATTTGTGGTGTTAAAAGGTGATTAAACTGATTTGAAATTTCTTTTGTTTACCATAAAATTTTACAGAAGTTCAGACAGGAAGCATAACGTCAGTGTTTTTCTTAACATGAATTTAGAAAAAATTTTGAAAAGTGAACTGCACCCTTATTAAGACAGTTTTAATGGGTGACAATGACTCAACCTGTTCACATCAATTGCTTAGGAGAGGAGCAGGATGTTTTCATTTTGTTTTGTTTTGTTTTATGTTCAGGGGGGGTCTGGATTTTTTTAAGAGATAGATTTGAATTTCAGCTAAGCAATGAATAATTATTATCAGTGTCTCAACTTTTATATGGAATATATAGTAAAATTCAAATTTGGCAGAGTTCCTCCAGTATAGACCTAACCTAGACATGTTTACTATGAAGCACCCTCCATTACTCACCCCCATTTCAGTCTGCATCTGTCACTCACCCTGCTTCTTTTTCTTTCTAACCCCCACCTTTATAATTTGCTTGTTCTTTACTATACTAGTATTCTTGTGGAATACATGTCTGGGTTATCGCAGTGTATACATATCCCATTTTCTTTTAAACGTTAGAGGTTCATTTTTGTAGACGCTCCAAGTTTTTATTTACATGTAATTCTCAAATGAGTTTTCTGACTATAGAACATAAGCTTTCAATAGAGAAAAGGCCTACTACCCCAACTTTAAAATATTATTTTCTAAAACAACAATTTGTAATGATATTTTGTTTATGATAAAATAAAGCTTGCCTGAAGATCAGAGTGCAAAGCTCAGCACAATAGAGGCTAGGTAGAGGTGGCACATACTTTTAATCTCAGCACAGAGGCAAACAGATCTCTGTTAGTTCAAGGCCACCCTGAGCTACACAAAAGTGATCCAGTTTAAAAGAGAAACAGACGTCACATAAAGGTGATCTCAGCACTTGGGATCACAAGCCTTTAATCCAAGCACTAATGAGGAATATAAGGTGGGAGGAGACAGGAGCTCAGTGCAATCTGAGGTTCGGTGGAGAACAGTGCAGTCTGGAGATGCAATATGAGGACAGGATCATCCTTTCAGTCTAAGCATTGGTAGAGGTAAGAACTCTAGTGGCTGGCCACTTTGCTTCTCTGATCTTCAGCTTTAACCCTGATATCTGTCCCTGGGTTTTTATTATTCATGCTACACAACTTGAAAATTCATATCAATGCTATTATTAGTGCTATAGATATACAATTAAGTAATGCCATAATGAATGTTAATAACCCTAATCTTCCAACTGTCTTCTATCAGATAAAATGGGTACGACTATTGAGAGAGCAACAACCAACAGAAATGAACCCAATATGGTGAGAGAACAGCTTTCCTTAAAAAAAAAGTCCAAAATTTAAAAGGCGTGGATAATGGGTATAGATTTTTTTGGTACATTTCTTTGTTTATACATTTATTGATCTACTTTTGCCATGCTGAGAATCCAACCCATGGCTGTGTGCATGGTAGCCAAGTGATCGATCATAAGGCCAGCCCTGCGATGCATTTAAAATGTATTCTAATTTAATACTTTTTAGATTCGCAAAACACTCATTTTAGGTTTTTTCCTCTTCTTGTTCTTATATTTTAAAGAGAATCCCAGGATCAAAGAACTTCACAGAACAACAAGAAGGAAGTAAAGAAAGTCAATCTGATGATATAGGAGAGAGGCTCTTTTTCCTGAGGTCAATGCCAGATGAAGCTCTGAAGGATTAGAAGGTTTTTGCTCCATTTGCTTTGGACAGAGTTAAAGACTAGGCACAGCCATTTCTGTTCATTAAAATCTCTCAAACCTTTATTTTAGTTATGTTTCCCTAGTCTACCACCAATTGGGGGGGTTAATGTTGCACATTTGGCCCTAAGCATGTTGGGACTTCAGTCATTTAGGTATTGCAAATAGCCTCTAATAATTGGTAAATTTTGGATAAAATGACTGAATTCAAATCGCGTTGGCTATAGTTAAGTTCATAGAAAGACATTTTCTACTTCTGAAGTATTTAATTCATTGATGACTAGCAAGCTTTAGATGAAAAATAAACTAAATTCCCTATTTGGCTCTTACTCTCTCACATATTGCTTTGTGGGTTCTGTTTCCTTGTTACCTAGTCCTTGAATATCTTGTACTCTCCAGTATTACGTTTTTAGTTTAGGCCTCCTGTTCTGCTTGAGTTACCACAGTCTATTAATTGGCTTTCCTGCTTCCTGGTTCTCTAATCCATCCATCGCAATACCACAGAAACTATTTTTTTTTCTGAAAGAGAAATGGGATGCTACTCCCCACCACTTTTGTTATGAAGTCCAAATCCTTCACACACAGTTAGTTGATCTGCTTCCTGCCTACTCTACAGTCTCATCTTTCAGTTTTCCTTTTCTGTAGAGTAAGCTCTACAGAACAATTTCCAGTTTCCCCCATGGATATGAGTTCTAGGTACAAAACTGAAAAGACTCTTTTCTCCTTGTCTTAACAACTGCCCATTTTTCTTGTATCTCTGTGTGAGTGTGCACATGTGCTGTGGTATACATGTAGAGTTCAGAGGTCAACCTTCCATCTTGTTTGAGACAAGCTCTATTATTCATCACTGATGCAAAAACAAGGCTGAGCTTCTGGGCAATTCTCCTTTCTCCACTTTCCACTTTGTTGTAGGAGTGAGTTTTATAGAATATTAGCATTTTAAGTATAAAGTTCCTTCACTTTACCCTAGAAACTTAACTTCATGTACATTGAAACGGTGTCCAAAGACCTATAGTTAATCAAGCCAGCACTGGTCACCAGGTGTCAACATCATTACGGCCAGCTCACACTCCAGTCTAACTCTCATCTTTCCCCTCTGACTGTCAAGTCTCCAAAGCCCTTAGACAATCAGTTTCATTTTCTGCCAACTGAGTTGCTGAGTATATAATCCACATTCTGTTTTAAGAAAAACCACCTCTTAACTTAGACCCTGAGAGACTCTGGCAGACTGGAGATCTTCAAAACAAATTACATTAGACAGAGCAATGAGAACAAAAGACAGTAATATAAAATGTAATTACTACTGACTACCCTCAACTTTTCATTTAACCTAAGGGCCTTAGACTCCTAATTTTAACAGTATTAAAAGAGTACTCTTTGAGTACTTTTAAAAATTATTTTTACCACCATAATGAATTGAGATTATGAATGCCTACTGCTTTGTTAATTAAAGTATGAAATAATCTGTTTTGCTTACTAGCAGAAGTTTTCATTTTCATTAGAAATGTCCTGTTCTTGAAAAACCGAGAAAAAAAAGAAAGAATGAAAGAAGTAAGTCCTGCTCTCCTAGGCATGGTGGTACACACCTGTAAACCCAGAACTACTTCAGGAGACAGAAGCAAGGGGGTCTTGAGTTCAAAGTTAATTTGAGCTATATATATATACTGAGACCTTGTCTCATTATCCCCAAAGTACTGAACTTATAAGTTCATTATCACTCAGACATATCAACTTTCCTTCAAATGATCCAAAATTTTCATTTTCTTCTCAGTTTGTTTATACTTTAGTCTTTTATTTTTATTATTATTATTATTTTTTTGTTTTTACGAGACAGGGTTTCTCTGTATTGTTTTGGAGGCTATCGGTCCAGCCCGGCCTCGAACTCACAGAGATCCGCCTGCCTCTGCCTCCCGAGTGCTGGGATTAAAGGCGTGCGCCACCACCGCCCGGCAACTTTAGTCTTTTATTCTACCTCATTAAAACAAAAAAGGACTTTATATTGGCCTCTGACTTTCCCATGGCAATACAAAATCATCTCTAAGATTGACTGGCTGCTTACCAAATAGTGTTAACACTTTGATAAATCAAGGGCAAGGTTCGCAGCTTTATGGGCATAAATAAATTTGTTTGGTTAACTTATCCAAAAGATGAGCAACTCATTCAAGCTACTAAAACTCGAGATTAAATGATAAACCAAGCATTGATTTAAATGACAGAGATGATACACATCTATAATTCCAGCACTCAGGAAGTAGAGGGAGGAGGATAAGAAGTTCAAGGTCATCCTCAGCTACACAGTGAGTTTGAGGCCAATTTAGGATATATACCACTCAAAAGAAAATAAACAGTAAAACCACAGAGAGATTCTCCAATTGAGTCAGAGTATGTCTATCCTTAAGCTATTCTTATCTCTTATTCAGACTGTGGGTAGTTGAATTGGTGATCAGGGGAGTATTTGTTTGAAATATCATTAATTTTATTTGTACCCATATTACAATGTTTCTTTGATAATAAAACTCATAATACCATTGAATGTACTTAATTTAAAGATACTTTAAAATTTTTTATTTGTGTATTTGTGTGTATGCCACATGTGTGCCCACAGAGGGTAGAAAAGGGTATTGGATACCCTAGAAATGAAGCTACAGGTGTTTGTGAGCCGTCTGATATGGATGCTGCTGGAGATCAAACTCAAGACTTCAGGAGTGTTCTTAACTGCTGAGTCATCTCTCCAGCCCCAAGAGGTTTTTTTTTTTAATTTCAAGACCAGCTGAGGAAAAAACCTGTTCTATCAGCAATACATTTATGAGCCACCTCTTCAGGAGATACTATTCACGTAATATCTCATTTGCAGTGTCTTGACTTCCTAACTTTTCGGAGGATATTTGCTAACATTTCATCTCCCAAATTGCCTTTTGCAATGACCATAAAGTGACTAGTAATGTTTACCCCACTTTGCTAAATGAAACAAGGCCAACAATAGAACTACAATCATTAGAGGGAAGCTGACAGTGTATAACATTTAATTTTTTTACTCATATCTAGGCACAAACTCTGCTTTGGGTAATAAGTAAATTATAGCCACTGTAAATCACATCTCATTTCAAAGGTAAGACTTTTGTAATCTGTTGCATCCCGGGCAAACATCTAACAGCCTCTCTGGCACCTTAGGAGGAGCCTGAATTGCTTCCAAATCAAAGTCCCTATTGCTTCATACGTCCTATATTTGCTATCAAAGATTAGGGAATGGAAAGAAAACAAAGTTCTGGATTTGAAAAGAAGTGCCCTACAACCAATCAATTATACATCAAGGAGACATGCATGCAGATTAAAGCATAATTATTACTTGACTGTTCTTTTGTGGGAAGGTGGGGTGGGCAGAGCCTCTCACCTCACGAAGGCCTAGAAACAGGATGACTGTGCTAGCTGCTTTTCTCCCTTTACCATTTCGTTCTATCCTGGTCTCTGCCTGCCAGTGAGACTGAGATGGTGTAGCTCACATTTAGGGTGGGGCCTCTCCTCCCTTAGGAAATCTCCTCTGGAAATGCTGGGACTCATCCAGAGGTATGTTTTACTAATCTCCTGGGTATTTCTTGATGCAATCAAAATGACAGTAAGCTTAGCCAACGTACTTGGTAAAATGAAAATTAAGACAACTGAAATATTCATCTTCTTTGCTTCTTTTACAAATTCACCTATGTTCCCTAACTTTAAAACTTTTTCTTGCCAAGTAGTGATAGTGTGCGCCTTTAATCCCAGTACCTGGGGGGCTGAGGCAGTTAGATCTCTGTGAGTTAAGAGGCCAGCCTGGTCTACAGAGATAGTTCCAGTACATAAAGCCATGGCTACACAATGAAACCCTGTCTAGGACCCTCCTTTTGGAAAATACAAAACAAAAAACCTTTCCTTAACGTTTCTTTTTAAGAAAAAAAAAAAGCGCAAAATAAACATTCTATAAACCACATTTCCTCCAGTTATCAGTCACCTGGTAGAAAATAAGATTACACATCACTTTTTAACTCTAAATTTTTATTCTTATGTGTGTTTGCCTACATGCATGTTTGTATACCACATGTACATCTGTGTACAAGCAGGAGCCAGAAGAAGGCACCGTATTCCTTGGAACTGGAGTTATAGATGTTCCTGAGCTGCTATGTGAGTGCTGCAATTGAACCTGGGTCCTCTGAAAGAGCAGCCAGTGCTTTTTATTTATTTATTTTACATTAGAAACAAGGTTGCTTCACATGTCAATCCCAGCTCCACCTCCCTCCCCTCCTCCCATGCCCTCCCACCAACTCCCTCCAGCCCCCCCTCCCCATCTGCAGTCCATTCCTCAGGGAGGGTGAGGCTCTCCATGGGAGATATCCAGAGTCTGTCATTTCATCCAGGGCAGGTCCTAGGCCCTCCCCCAAGTCCAGGCTGAGAGAGTTGCCCATTGTGGGATGGGCAACCAAAGTTCATTTGTATGCCAGGGATAAATACTGATCTACTACCCAAGGCCCCATAGACTGCCTAGGCCTCCTCACTGACACCCACATTCAGTGGGTCTGGATCAGTCCCATGCTGGATTCCCAGCCATCAGTCTGGGGGTCAAGAGCTCCACCTTGTTCAAGTCAGCTATTTCTGTGGGTTAAACAAGCCCAGTCTTGACCTCTTTGCTCATTAGTCCTCCCTCTCTGTCACTGGGTTCCAGGAGTTCAGCTCAGTGTTTAGCTGTGGGTGTCTGCCTCTGCTTCTATCAGTCATTGGTTGAAGGCTGTTTCCCAGACTCTCTGTAGCCAGTGTTCTTAAGCACGGATCTACTTCTTTTGAGGCATGAGCTTTCTAGAGAAACATTTTTTTTTCTATAACATTAGATGTAAAGCTATCTATTAGGAAACCAATGAATGGTGTAAGGAAAGCATGATACTTCTGAATTGAAGAAAGTTAGCTTGAACATGGCCCATGAAAGTTTTCACACTTGGAACTGTGCCTTAAAAAAAAAAACTTATATATGGACTGAATCCTCAATAAGTGAAGGCATTATACATAGAACCCTTTAAGAAATCAATCAGAAATAACAAC